TTCAGTCAAGATGCGTTAAGAGGAAGAAGAATAATTTTCCAGTTTCAGTAGCTTATGAATTACGTGCACCCCCATGCACCTACATCCCAGCTGTGTTGTGATTGTGCTGACTACTTAAAACGAACTTCCTACTTCCTTGCTGTGAACAGGAACCGCCGGTGTAGCAACTACCGCAACCGACCTCGCCTCGACACCGATCGCATCAAGTATTGTAAGTTATTTTAGTTTGTTTAATTCCCTTTTCTTTTTTTGTGTCCCCGATGAGTGGCTAAACGTTACAGCTGCCGCCGCTGTAGCTGAAAGACGAAAGGGGGGTGTGCATATGTAGGGCAGACGCCAGACGACTACCGACTAACTTACGGTGGACAGACGGACAGTAGACAACCGACGGGACCTTTTCATTTTTTTTTTATTATTTTATTTCTTTGTCAGGAAAAGATATATACTCAACCGGCAATAAAAGTATCGAGTCTCATGACAAGGTATAGATATATTGTTCTCAAACATAATACAATTGATAGCCTAATAGATTTAAAAATTGCACTAAAAATAAGTATTGACTATAAACTAAGAAAAGCTACCACAAATCTTTTCTTCACAGTTGCGTTTTTAGAAAAATAGCTGTAAAAGAAAAATATAAATAGCTGTTAGAAAATAAATTATTTTTCATTTTGAAAATTAATACAGTACAATTTTTTTGTTTTAAATATTAAGCTACACAAGGTATCGTAACATCGCATTATGCTCATTTATTAAAGAAGAGAACGAAGACAACCGCGACGCACAAACTTGGTGACTAGACGAGCTAGAAGGCCTTTGCAGGATGCCTCTGACAAGATTGCAGGATGCTTTAAAAACTTACGTATATTTATACGGCGTTTTATCTTATGTAGATTTATGCAAATGTTCATCGTTTCCACAACTTTTCGTTACGTCCTGGGAGCATTGATATGAGTGGCGCTATGAGGACTACATACTTTAGAGCTTTAAAGTTGTTGGCTTCAGCAAGTTTGCAATAAGCGTCCTATAGCGACCATACCCTAAGCGTAGCACGCAGTGCATTCTCAACTGTTATGCCAGAAGTGTTACGAAAGTTGGAAATAAATCTTTGCGCGGACTGGATCCAATGAACCTTAAATGTAAGCGACGATGTGGCTTTACCGGAAATTTGATATTCGAGACGTTAAGTAATTAAACGTTTTGTTTTACAATAAACAACTATTATAATACTTTTATTATTTATTACTGATTAGATATGTTAATGAAACGCAGATATCCCTTTCAAAGTCAACGGAAAATGGAGCAATTTTCATTATTCGGAAAAGAAAACACTGCCTAATCGGAATAGCAGCAAGTTGGCCGAGTATTTACGTACTACTACTTTTTACTTATATAACTATAAACATTTCGTTTTACATTTGCGACCATGAAATGAAAATCATGCCAGTCAAATTCAAATTTCCCGGATCTTCTCATAATTCGCATGTGTGGAGGCATTCCGGCGGAAAAGCGCGGAAAGCTATTGGACTGCTCATGAGAGCAATGCTTAGCTGCTTAGTAATCAATAAAAAAAAGAAAGCACCAAAACTCTACATCTTTCTCAGTTTTTTTCCGGTGCTAGTCGATACCCTCTGCACCCTTGACTGGAGACACATTGTCGGCGGATCCCCTAAAAGAGAAATACGAAACAATTCATTGCAAGGCGAGGAGCATTGTGGAAAGATCCATTGGTGTGTCTAACGGCTTATATTACAGTATATAGCATTGCGAAAATCTAACTACAATTTTTGAACAATCCTCTAAAACACTTAATTATTCTACGAGAAGAGTGGAAGAGTTGCTACAGCCCGAAAAATCTGTGGAAGAGTCGGAAGTGTTGTGCAAACCTCCGGTTTTGATATTTGTATGGAGGCACCTCCATTGAGGTAGTTGGGTGAAGAAGTTAGAGGATTGCTGGCACAAGATTTATAATCATTTAAAAATCTTAAAAACATAAATAATTTTTAAAGTTATAACACACACAAAAGTTTACATAAAAGTTAAATAAACATTGAAAGTGTTACTTTTGATCGAAAAAAATTTTTAAATGTAAATTTCTTGTAAACCGATTATGGTCATTTCAACATTCAAAGTATTTTATCGTCTGTCACGGTACTAGCCTCTTTGTTGCCGGTAGAGCGTATTTGTTAACGGGGTTTGGCTCTCTGAGCCTAACGACAAAGAATACAAAAAGTCTCATCGGTTGTCTATCGTCCGTCTGTCCACCGTGAGTCCGTCTGTAACCGTCCGACGTCCTCCCTACGGTGCCATCACATGCACACTCCCTCATCTGACCTCAGCCACAGCGGCGGCAGTTTGCACTCAGCCACACATCGGGGCTCCTCCATAAATAGGGGACAAGAAAAACAACAAAAAAGGAAATAAATAAATTAAAAATACCTGACCGTGAATCTGTGTGTTGCTAGTGTCTGCGGTGGTGGCTGCTTACATCATCTGGTTCCTTCTTCTTACACTCTCGCCCTCTTATTCACCCCTTTTCCTCTTCCTCTTCACTTCGTTGTGTTGCCTCCTCCTTTTTTTTGCGTAATTTAAAGCGTTTGTTCAATGAATTTTATTATGAATTTCATTGACGATCAATGATGTACGTCATATTACTGCTGCCGTTACTGTTATCGTTGTTATGGCCGATTGTGTTTGTTTCGTTCTAATTATTTAGTTTTTTTTTTTCTTTACTTTAAGAGAAAGCAACTCCATTTGGTGAGATATAACTTCCAATTTATTTACATCAAATTTCTGGTTTTTATTTCTTCGGTATTGTAAACCACTTCTTTTGTAAATTCTTTTCCTTTTAAATATTGCAATATTAACAACTTTTTCTTAATGTATATTATTTCACAAAAGCTATTGTAATAAGAAGTGTATTTTATACAAAATTTCCATAATTTTATCTTATTTACATTCTCCTTAATGTTTATTATTTCGCAAAAGCGTCAATGACGTTTAAAATTAATATATTCGCACACGAATGCTATGCGCTTTGCTTGGTGACGGCGAGACGAAGAGAAACGGTAACTTTATCCACTTATGCTTTGGTTTCTCTTTCACGGCTTGCTTCAGTTAAGAGACATTTTTCAATCACTCTTCAAAAAATTTTAATAAATTTTGAGCTTTTCTTTTATTCCTTTGATATGAGGGTCGTTTCTGCAAACGAATTCATATATTCATGTGTGAGTAGCTTTTATTCGATTTTTTTCTCTTTCAGTCATTGCTTTGTTGAAAAAAAATATTTTTTTCTACACACACTTCTCTTTATGTGGCTCCTAGTATATGGGTTTTCTTAAATATTTTCTTTGTTATTTTACTTATTATTTTTTTCTATCAAATACACCATTTTTTTACATAATTTGTACACACTCATTCGTACATCCATTTTTATATTGCACACATGGAAATTTATCGAAAATAGCAGTAATGATGATTTCCTCACATTTCTTTACTCGATGCAAGCAAACCTTTTTTTTTTCTTTTTAACGTTTAACAATTACTTTATCCCTGCCGACTTGTATTTCTTTAATAAAGTTCTAGTTAATAACTTCTTTTCCATTATTTTTAGACATTATTTTGCAAAACTGTAAGCTTCAAGCGTTATTCTACCTTCTTTAGACGCGAACTTTAAAAAGATCTCTCACATTAGTTCCTGTTAGTCTTTTGTCCTTTTTTTTTTCTTTCTTTGCACTTGAAAGCTCAATTTTAAAAATAGTTTTATTTATCCGCTTTTAGACCAAGCTCGCGTACACGTCCGCACCTCAGCAGAGGCCAAGTAATTCTCCCCTCTATCCTCGAAACAAAACACAGACAGACTTCTCATCCCTGCTCAATTCTTCTCTTCTTCTTTTTGTTGCTCTCTATAGCGGCTTGCCGCTACTCTCGCAAACGCAAGCAAAATCCCGCAAGATCACGCGATTTTGCTTATTCTTGCAAAAGCAAAAGAAAAAGGGAATACCGCAAAATCACACGATTTTGCCTGTTCTTGTAAAAGCATAAAAAAAGGAATACCGCAAAATCACGTGATTTTGCCTATCTTAATGAAAGGGAAAAGAAGAAAACAACAAAACAATTATATCCCGTAAGATCATGAGATTTATAAATGGTACCACAAAATCACACGATTTTGCCTAACGGCATGCCGTTATTGCGATACTTGCGGTTGACATAGATCGACAGACACTCTACCCAAGGTTTGTTCGCGGCCGTTACACGTTATATGGCTCAACACAAATTCTACATAAACTTCATTTCATTTTGCATGTTTGTTGTTGTTTACCATAAGTAGTTTGTTTATAGAAAGCAAACATGCATCAATTTGCTTTCAATTTGTACGCCTTTCTCAGTCATTGTAATGGAAAATTTGAGGGTATTGAAAAGGTGGTGACAATGCTACATGATTAGCTTCTTGGCGGTAAGCAAAAAACAAGGCAGCAATCATCTACTTACATGATTACCCTCTTGAGTTATAGGTTGCCAACACTCACACTTATGTACCTATGCAGACACTTATGTACAGTTATAAGACTAATTTTATTAACAATAAATATTTTGTATAATTATATAATTATATTAGCAATAGGATTAAATCTGGGAAAGCTTTAACATATTGTCGGTCGGTTTAATTATGCATTAGCTTATCACGTGTTTATTATTTTTCTTAATTTCGTTTTTGCTTTATCTTCTGACTTGATATGCATTGAATGATATTTTGATTTATGTATATTAGCCGTATAGATTAGCTAATGATATTTAGTAAATAAATAAATCTCCATTTTTCGTCATAATATTGTGGTGTGATCGCATACCGTTATATGCATCCACAGAATTATGCAAATTCAGCATAATTCTTTTGCTAAAAGAAAAATTCACCTGCCAGGCGCTTCATTTAAAACAATTATTATTTTGATGATGTTACCGTAATTTAGTGTAATAATTTGTGTATAAATAGCCAAGTAAGAATTCATTAAAGTCAATTGTCTAAAAGCAATTCAACAAGCGTATTAATCCGCTAAAAATTCAAAGGCGTTCCATCCGCCTGGTATGTTAGGCACTGCGCCATGCCGAGTTCAATTGGCATTTTCAAGAGGCAGATCGACTTAGCACATTGAAGCCGAACAGTGTAGAAAACTTACTGTACACCAACACTAAAGATTCCTATATGAAAAGACTCATCAAATTCAAAATTATTATAATATACTATGCTTTATTGTTTTTTTGCTTATATACATATTCTATACATATTTCTTTTTTAGCTTAGAATGCTTTGTTATCTTTTATGTTTGTACACAGACGATTATGTATACAAAGGTTTTTGCCAAGATGTATTATTTAATTAATTCTTGGTGACTATACATGTAAGGAGTAGATACGTAGCGTAGTAATAAGCAGTGAGAGCTCAAAGAATAAACGAAGAATAAAGCGTGCAAAATATCGCTGGAGAGAAACAGAGAGAAACAAGCATCAATCGCTAATTGGCAGTCGACGAGTAACGTCGCGCAGTCTTTAGGAAGAGTCAAGTTGTAAAATAGTACAGTCGTCAAACCTTTTGCTTACTTTTTTTATTATTATTTCTTTATATTTAATTACTCGTGGGTTCGTATTACTTTTTAATAAACATCCATATAATGCTTTTAGCATTAATAAAGTCATATCAAAATCCATACATACACACATAAGCTTTGATTTTGTTTTGAATTGCTTGGACAGGAAACCTTTAAACACCGATGCATTTTGCTAACATCACTGTTCAAAGCTCCCTGAAAGAATCGAAAACATGAAATTGTATTAAATGGGTTTGATTGGAATGTCGGATCGGAATAAAGTATATTATTAATGAACAACCTGATGAGATTTTCGAAAAAGAGTTTTGTTGTTGTGCTATATTGTGTATGCATACAATGGGTCGTTATGTAACAGCTGTTGACTCTTGGTGGGGAGGTGACAAGCGAGATATAATTCAATTCTGTGTAATCGTTCATGGAGGTGTGTGTTGTGTTGTGATTTCTGGATGTTTTCTTAGTTTCTTTTCCAAAACGAATTGTTGATCGTTGAAAGGGTCGCCCACAAACGATATCTTCATCGTTCGTAGAACGAAATTTATTACACTTATCTTCAATTTCTCAGAAAGAACTCAGAAGGCTACCCAATTTATGTTCTCCACTCTCAATAGGGTTGACGCTTGTTGCTAATGACCATGAATTTAAAAGGCCACTCATCCGACTAGGCTTTCTTGCAAATTTCTGGCCTGGCGAATTTGACCAACACTCATCAAAACAGTGAACCAACGTCAACCGAAATATCTGTGCGGACTAGTTTGTGAAGTAAGGATTTGCCAACCGCACGTTTTGCGTTAGAACTGATACTTGGATGATAAGCTGTTACAGCTGGCACGACAACAGCTGATATTGAAGTTCAATGATCTCCATATTCCGATCGTAAAAAGCTACCGACGAATGTATCTGCAACGAAAGCACCATCTCGTATGCTGAAAATGGTAACAGATGATATGTTTGTTCCTAGTCGAAGCTGATTTAATCATCAATAAAATTGATTTAATGACACGACAAAGTACAAATGAAGCGTAACGATTGCTGCTGTAGCGAACAAAACATATGAAGCTGATAATGACGTAACAAGTGCGGACTGGAAGAGACTTGACGAGGGGTTTGTCAAAGTTCAATAACGAATAGTCTTCGCTTGGCATTGAGGGCAATGACCAGATCTACAATTTTTTCCATTTTTTAAGCAATTGATGCACAATTTCATTCTTTTATCCCCCTCATGACGTGGTGATCGGTATAAATTTCCAAAACGAGAATAATTAGCAATGGAGTGTTCATGGGATGCGTAGAAATGCAAGAACGCCATGGCGCGGTAGAAGTCACAAAAACATTCAACCACACGAAGAAGCGTTTCCAATTTTCGAGCATATGGCGCCTGTTGTTCAAGAACACTAGGATGGAAATTATTTCATAGACCAACGTTCTTCCCATTTCATTCATGATTATATATCTAACTTTGACGTAATCAAGTGGCACAAGAGTCCATACGTAATTTGAACTTTTGTGCATGTAGATTGCAGCGCACGCATATGAGCCTTAAACTTGTCATTAAAAACTGCCTTTGCAACACCTTTCAGACCAAAAATCTCTTTAATGCAGTTTTGAAAATTAAGATATTTATTATCAAATCATTTCTTTTAAATATGAATAGCCATATCGTTATTACCTTCAATACGATGCAATTGTATCCAAAGCAGCATTCTTCAAGATAGCATGAAGGTACTCAAGTTTTTCAATGTTGCTTAGTTCAGGGTCGTTGTCGATGACAGTGGCATGGTAAGGAAATCTAATCGATCTTAATATGTACTACAAAGTTGCGGTATTGGTAATTCCGACGACTGCGCTTTGCGAAAAACTGCGATGCGAACAAAAAGTTTTAATTTTCATTCAACGAAGTTTGACGAACGGATGAAGATCACGAAGTCGGGGCAAAAAACGCCTTTGAATTCACTGTGGCCAACTTCTTCCAAAGCGAATTGAGCTTGCAGAAAGTTTCTACTTAGCTCCTCCCTCAAATGAGAGGCACTCACCACTGTATTTAAATCGCCTAGTTCCTTTAACGCTAGAGCTAGTTTTTTTTGTGTAACATACTAACTGTATTACTATGTTACGCAATGGCTAAGTTCCCATTGCCTTGACTCATTTTGATTGTTTAAAACGAACGAAAAAATGGATAGCGAAGAATTGAATTTTGTTTTTCGCCAAACATGGCAAAACTTGTTTTGATGTATGCACGATATACTGATTGTCGTTTTATTCGTAGTTTATTTCCGAAACCAAATTTAGATTTTATATAGAGTGGGGTTTTAGGCACAGTTGTACGCTCGTTTCAGTCATTTCTCTGTCAAATACTGCTTCTCTTCCTTATATTGCTGTTGTTGCGCAGAGATTTGGCACTGCCCGAGACCATTTTTTCAATCATTACATTTCGTAATCATTACATTTGATATTATGTCTAAGAGGAAAATATACAAAATATTTTGCAGTATCAGAATTGTCACACTTAATTTGAATCTCAACAATTTGAAAAATCAGGGTTTACTGCAGTTATCCAGAGTGACATCATTTAATGAAGATTTCACCAAATCTGTAGACTTACCGTGATTCCTATTATCGATATGACTACATGAAACAATGTTATGCCTTTTCCTTTTTGGAAACGAGTTCGAAAGCGAGTGAAATAAGTTTCCGAAACTAGAAATTAATGGTTGTGATGTAAACGCAAAAATGCTTCTTTTATATGATTTGAAAGAATGTTAGTATTCCATATTCCTATTTTCAGATTTGTTTGCATAGCTTTTAAATTAGTATTTTTATCATATTGAGAAGATTAGCTAAAAATAGCTTCTGCAGGGGTTTAGCATATGTTTGGTTGTTAGAGAATTGGTTAGTATTAGTTAAAGCGTCGTTGTTATAATAATTTTGTGAAAAATCATTACAATTTTGAGGAAGGTTATAAATTTCACTTTTGCTAAGCGAAGCGTAATATTGTGTTAGTCTTACTTGACTTAGTTTCCTGAGCATTAGGCAGCCTCTATAGCGGGCAGTACATATTCTTCTCAGCGTCGTTCTTTGCACGGTAACGACGAAAACGTATTGACTTTTGTGTTTTCGACGACTTTCTCAATCCGATTTTGTAATCAAAATTTTTTAAATACAATGCGCAATGTTGCAACCAAATTGCTACCAATGTTGGTTTTGTCTCGAATATGGTGCATTTTTTCAGAGAGATTTGTGTTCATTTCGATATACTTCATAGCAGCTAGCCTTCTCAGAAGTTCGTACAGTGGCCTATGTTGAATCGTGTTCGGTGCAAACTGAATAAAGCAAAGTGGCATTTGAATGGACCTGTGTACTCGACTCCAGGAGGAGAAGGCGACATCCCTAATATGTGTATTCCAAGGTTTCTATGCTTCCCCATATATTCAAATCGATTGTTGTATGGATTTTCTGTTATGTTATTTTATACTTAAAGACATGTTTACAGAAGGATTCTGTGAACGTAATGCACATGCGTTTTGAGCCGTTGACCAATTGGAAAATTCTGGCACTCCGAAAACAGGAAGAACTTTTCATCTTTCGTGACAGGGTCCAGTCTCATAAATATATTAACGTTGGGAGGGTCTTTGCGTTGCTTGAGGTCTTGCTATGTTTTTTCATTGCGAATTTCCATTTTTGCTAAATGTACACACTTCGCAAGATTCAATTTCAGCTTCTATATCAAATGATATGCGGAACCAATGATATTTCTGTCTAGTATTCTACGAATTCCTTGATGTCAAGATGATGTCCAGTTTGAAATACTCTTCTCTTATACATATTATATAAACAAGTTAGTTGGATTGTTCATTGTCATTTACTTCAATTAGACATATTTGCAGATGAATGAACTGTTGCTAGCTTATCTATATGCATACGGAAAAGCGTATCAAGTGCGATGTGTGTTCCTTTAAGGAACTGGATGTTAATGTGGAATGGTTGCAATGTAAGGCTTCGCTTATCGCATCAATCTCTTTTGTGAAGTAAGTTATTTTAGGCTAGTGTAGTCGGCGATTATAGTAAACAGTGGACTTTCTAGAGTCTAAATTTTTTCACTCTCACTACGCCTATTAGATAGAGGTATAATTCTTTTTAGCTTTATTTATTTTGGCTAACATATACGCAATGGGTGTTTAATTTTCCTCATAACCTTTTTACAATGATACTCTCCCTATACCTTCTCTAAATCCGTCGCAATAAACATAATAGTACTTTTTGAAATTAAGAGCATTTAACGCTGGGGCTAGGGGTTCAGCAAGGCCGCGTCTTTTCGTATGAAACCGTAGTAAAAAGTAATCATCCCGAAAACCTTCTAAATTCTTCCGAACATTTTTGTACAGCAAAATTTGAAAATAAGGAGTTCTACGTAACAATACTTTAGACTTGGCTGCAATCAGCACAGGCTTTACAGCATGAAAAATTAATTAATAAAAATATTAATCAAAGGTCCTTCAGTAAACGTAAAGGGGACATATCCCCTTAGCAACAATTAGCGAACTCAATTCGAGTTTAAATCTAATGTTTTCTATATACAAATATATTTTTTTCTTTATTTTTGGAAAAGAAATAGATAAATTTTAAAAGTCCAAAAAGTGGAAATTTCGAACTTAATCGAATACTCGCGTTATTAATATATTTAGAATATGTAATATTTAATATATTTAGAATACGTTTTAAGGCAAGGCCTACCAATAGTTTAACATAAGCCTTTAAAGTAAATCGAATGTATTTAAGTCTTTTGCCGTTTGGTAACTTTTTAGCGTGTTCTCATTTTTAAAGTTTATATTGTCCCAGCATTGGCAGCTTTTAAATTATTTTAACATTTGTGTTCGTCTCACGATTTTGATTCTCGCGTTCTTTTTGTTTCAAAATTTTTTATGCGATGAAAATTAGGTTTTTTGAAGGGAATCAAATAGAATTGATAGGTACTTAACGGACCTGCGGGCATCTGCCCAGCACCGAAGCCACAGAATTTGAATCAAATCGCAGAAGTTTTTCAGAAGCAACTCACTCTTTCCTATATGCAGACGGACTGCGGGCCTTTTTTCTCTATTCTCTTTACATTTTTCTTTCTTGCTATTGCCATACATTTATGTTTCAGTAGCGCAAACTTCTTTTTATAAATCTTTTCGTTGTTAATATTAAAAGGAAATTTGTAAGTAAATATAGCAGGAAAGTCTAATAAAAAGAGAAAAAAATGCAAAAAGAAATGGCATAGCGATTTTCCGCTAACACTGTTAAACCGGTCATTACTCTTTGGATGCAATAGAAAAAACAGACCGAGGGTCCACGAACATTACAATCTGTGGAACCAAAGAAAAAATTATATTGGTTCTACGATTGCCTACGATTTTAATTTCAATTAAACATCCAGGCTTCATGTGCTTAATTCATTTACAAAAAGGAAACAAGTAAAACACTATCATATCCTACACCAATATACATTTATTCACCTAATGATTTTTCAAAGTAATGCGTTATTTGAGAAGCGGTCGTAGTCTGATCAAAATGATTTTCAATCGTATTTGTCTTTGGGCCGAAATATGTTGCTGTAGCAAATTTCGTTAAAATATCTCAAAAATTCACGACCTATAAGTGGAACACAAAAATACATGAACAGATTTAGATCGAATCAGAAAATGGTACTGAATGGATCGGTATAAAAAAATTTGAGTCTATGTCAAGTTCTTCTGCGTGTTGTAAACATCCGTACAGGCTTACTATATCCTGTGTCACAGGTGGTGCAAAGTATAAAAACGAAAATGGTAGATATTAACATATTTAACTTATAGGAATTGAATTTTAGATAAAGAGCAAACATTAAAAAACTGTTATTTTATATACACGCAAAAGCACTTCCGTCTTTCTCATTTTTATTTATTTATTAATTTTTTGTTTTAAATATACATTTCCGATTTTCTCTCTTCCTTTAAATACGCAAGATATACATATGTAGAAACAAGAGAGAAGTTATACACGATTTGAATTGAAGTCTTTTTACGTACCATTACCTTTTATTAAAATCACTATAATTTCCTCTAAATTTGTGATCTACCATTTTAATGTGTCAAAAACTTTTTAAAATGTGTAAATTCTCTTAAGTATACATTGAAGCGAAGTGACATACCATATAAACGTCTGCATTTCCAAACCTTTCTCTTCTAATTAAGTTTAACGAGCTTAAAACATAAACAAGCAAGTCAGTTATTTTAAGCTATCCTAATTTTTCAATGCTTTCTTTACCCTGCCCCGCTTATGGTTCAAGGGTGTATTAAGTTTGTGTGGAAACGTAGAATATCCAGAAAGACTTGAGGTAAATTCATCTGATTTTATTCCCAATCATCCTTGTGTTCCTTTTCTGTCCATCTTGTAATCTTGCAGTCAGCCTACAAACCATAAATTTTAAAAAATGTTGATTCGGCGACGTGTTTTGGCCAATGGGTGAACGCTATTAAAACTGGTTCGAACCGGACGACTTTTGCATTCACTTCCCATAAAAAATTTTATTTTGAAAAGTCGTTATTTAAATATTTGTATTAAGCAAGTGGTGTAGGGCGTTTAATGCTCAGCGTGGCTTACCACAATGCTTTTACTTGCTTTTCATTGACAAATTATTGATTCTAAAAAAAATTTTGGGAAGAAAAGAAATACGTACTCCAGGAAGTTTGTCACTTTAATTTCAACACAAATAAAACCATTGGGACAACAGTGGGGCAATGCTGACCACTAACTTCGTTTAAGATAGTTCTTCATTTATTTTCATGATAAAATACTTAAACTTACATCATGTCAAGGTGTAGGTATTCTTGGTAAAGGACAAAATGTGAGCTCCAAATTTGTCAAACGTTTATAATACTCGAAGCACTTTTTTTTCTTGAAGCAAATGTATAGGTCCAACGCGAAAGATGAAGTGAATAAATTTTTTGGAGAAACAATAGAGAAAGAAACGGGGAGAGAGATTGAGAAAGAGAGAGTGAAAGAGAAAGTTTAAAGGGGAGCTGGAGCTGTTTTCTTTGATTTCTGCTTTTTTGGCAGAATTTTTAACATTTAAAAATTCTTTTTATTTTTCGTTTATCATTTATTAATTTGAATGCTTTTTCTTTTGCTTCTTTTTCCGTTTTCTATACATAACTTAACATAAAATATGAAATATACAACTTATATATAGTATGTGTTCTTTTTGGTTTACTTGAAGTGCATGTTTTTGAATGTGATTCGTTGCTGCTGTTACCGCAGTTGATGTTAATAGATTCGATAATATTTCTTTGAAGTTTCGAGCAAACGATACATTTTCGTTTTTAATGATTAGCGTGCGCAAAAACGAATAACTACGTGGTATTAAATTCAAGTATATGAAACGTAAATATATATTAAGTGTACAAGTTTGCCTATATATAATCAATTCTAACCATGATAATGTAAGTGCTTCAATTTCGAACAACGTATGTTTAATACACGTTTAATAATTTATTTTTGTTCGCTATTCTAAAGTTGTCAGAAAAAATGTTGCTTCCATACCAAATAAAATTAAGTAAATAGTATATATACACATATATCTATATATAATCGTAATAATTAGTAAAGAAAAATATGTAAAAAATAAAGATATTAATGTTATTTAGGTATCTACGTATGTGTGTAAACAAGTAAAGTCAAGAACACTATCCGTGGAAACAAATGGTTTGTTTTTAGTTGTTAATTTTTTTTTCTTATATTTATAAATTGGTATGAAGTTTCGTGTTCTTATGTAGCCATCTGGGTAAGTGATGGTTCATGAGCCAGCGTCTGTTTCTATGAGTGTGAGTGAAGATTATAACGTTACTTTAACGCCTTTATTCCAGTCATCTAATCAATGGAAAATTCATTGAATAACGCAGCAGCCCTTCTTTTTGCTTTTTTTTTCGTCTATGATCACATGACTAGCAGATGTTGGTCCAGGTACCAATTGATTTGAGACTTGAGCTAAAGAGGTCATACCATTATTATCTGTTGATTTCACAACTCCGCCCAAAGTAACTGTTTGCGTCCTATACATAGTACCATTTTGTGCGGATTGATTTTGCGATACCTGCTCAGTTGTCACCGTACCTTAGTTCATCAAATAATAACCATGTTAAATAGTAACTTACATTCGTTTTGGTAGCTTCTTCTAAGCCCATTTTACCATTGCTAGTGTCATTTTTTTGTGTCTTTCCGTTGCCTATCGCATGATCCTCTGTAGGGGTTATAGGTTTTCCACCTGTTAGAGCAATGAAGATATTTATACACATTTAGCCTCCTCACAAAGCGCACGTATTTACCACTAATCATTTTAACAATCTCATCAGCCTCCCGAGATAAATCGCCACCAGGTCGAAAAGGATTATCCCAACCAGAATCGGTGCTGCATCAGAATGTTCATAGTTTAAATATATTTTATTACAATTACACATATATATATCACATACCTTTGCTGCCGATCGTAGCTAGGTAAGGGCGTTGTCATAATGTCCTCAAAATTACAGTTATAATTACTTAACGGTTTATCTAAAGTATTTTCGTATTTCGTAAAATATTCGGGAGTGTAAATATGTTGCGGCTGACTGCTCTGATAAATTGATACACGCACTACTGAACGTTCTGATCTGTATTTTTCATAAAAAATCATATATTTATAATAATGAAACAATTATTTACGTGTATATATATAATAAGCCATTGCATAATTTATTGTAGATTTATATGTATTTAACAGACTATTGCATCATTTATTGTAGATTTATATGTACATAACAGGCTATTGCATCATTTATTGTAGATTTATATATAACAGGCTATTGCATCATTCATTGTAGACTATTCTAATCCTAATTTGTAAATATCAAATTACTTGATAGTACAAATATATTAAATGACAGTAATGATTTAAAAAATTACTCAATTGCACTAGCCCATGTTTTAAATTTTCAAGTTAGTTAATAAGCTAACTGGTTCTTTTCCCAAAAGCACAATTATTCCCATTTTATTTTCATTCTCAGAGTTTAATGCACGTTTTATAATTCCATTTTTTACAAATTTGGGTACTAACAACACAAAAAAAAAAACCATTTGCATGTGAGCATACAAAAGGAGTGCGTAAAATTATTTGCACAAAAGTCTGTATCTTTGCTTTAATTAGAATTTTACTAGTCTTTATTTAGCAACGACCAACACTTTGGCAGAATTGTCAATATGGTTTTGACTTGAAAATTGGAGATCGGAACCTAACACTTATATTTTTATATCAGCAATGCACGTTTATGTGTGGACACGTCTTCGCATTACAAACTAGACATTGGTTGAACTCATGCTCTTTGTGCGATCGTATTGGAAAGAGATCGCCTATTATCTGTTTTCTCTCTTACTAAACAAAAGAAACTCGATATGTGTAAAATTGATCAAATTGAAGCGAGCAATCGATTGAAAGGGACATGAATTAGTAAAAAATATGTTACGTGCGAATACGAAAACGATGTAGTGTAACGACTCGGCAAATGTTATTACGGCTGGGCTGATGTACTTTCGGTATGCCAGTCACGCGTACGGAGAATTCCATATTTCGAGATCTGGATGATGAGTGGATATTAATAGCTTAAAAATTTTATTTGAACGACTTTTTTATGGAAGCGTGAAATTGGTGCAAATACTGAACATTACTGGCTCAGTTTATTTAACAATAGGACTGTCGAGCATGTCATTTTGATCCTTTTTATTTTTGATCTTTCAATGAATCATTACAAGATTATAAAGTTATAAGCAAGGTTACAATGTTAAAATATTAGTTAGTGGCTTTCTTTTGCTTGAGAATACTTTTGTACATTTACAATGAGCTTTATACCCACTTATTTTATATACATAGCTCTACCAAAAAGGATCATGTTGATCCCCTTTTTTCGTCGAATTGCCGCAGCCGCAAAAATGAAGATAGGGAGCTGAAGTTTAGTATAAACAGTCCTTGATCAATTAAGAATATTATTCTACCGAACATTTGGGTACAGGTTTTCCGAAATATCTTCACAAAATCCAAATTTACATACGAAAATACAAAAGCTGTCGGTATTTTTCGGGGTTGCCTTATTTTCTAATCTATTGTGGGTGCGTACGAGAGCAAGCCACAACAATTTTTTATTCTTGGGTTTTCTAATCCATCAAGGAATGTTTGTGCCAAACTTCAACTTTTCATCTTTATTTTTTGACTCTTGTAATTCGGCAAATAACCGGATCAATCTGTACCCCATTTACACGGAACAGGTATATGCAAAACGTCGTTCTAGCTGACATTCAAAATCGTTAAAGCTACCATTTTTGGTGTTCATATTTGAAAAAAAATTAATTCAACGTTTGGATTATTTAACCTTCAAATTTTAAATAAAATCTTGAACGCCAAATTACTCACAAACACTATCCACAGAAGCAAGGAGCGTATGGTGGTTAAAAATCGATGTATGGTTTCTTAAACTACTTGATTTAAGAAGTGCGTAAGATTTCATACACAAATTATTTTTTCTTTAACAGTCCTAGATAGGATCTTACGGAATGCCTACAAAGAGTTTTAAGAAGATATATTAAAAACAATTTATATTATCTTTCTCCTACAAGTGATAGGTGTACCTAGTGTCTGCATACAATGATCATAATGCAAAATGATTTCACATACATTTGCTACAGCATTACACAACGCGCACTTGGTTAAAACTCTTACTTATCAGCACAACCCTTTCTTTTACGTACATATCTACGTTTCATAGTTTACCTTAAATAAATTGCGCTAATATTTGAGGTCACTCAGCTATATTAATATAAAATTAATTTTGCAAATAGCACTAGTAACAATTTTTGTCTGAGGTAGTGGCTGTTTGCTTTTGCTTTAGCAAAGGTTTACCTTAATTAGTCATTAAGCTCGCTGTATTTTGATCCTCTCATGAAAAAAAAACGGTTTTAGATTGTCAGACTACTGATCAATGAACAAGCGTTGAAAAAATAAATGTGTTTAGGAAACGATGAATTGCCCTGATTAAGGCAAATAACAAATCACCCTATTTATTCCCTACGTACGGAAGCATATCGGCTTTCGCAAGTGAATTTTTTTTTATCCGCGACAGTGTCCGATATTAAAATCAGCGACCTGAAACAAGATTCGTTCGTATTTAAAACTAAAATTACCGCATGAATCAATCTGAACTTTTCCAAATTTTGAGCTTCAAAAACAGGGTCCAAATTTGGGACAAAGTCATAAAAGTCACAAAAATTTTTGGTAGCTTTAAATAACTACAATCAAGTTTTCTCTGTCTGGTCTAGTTTTTGAGATTCCGATGACACATACATATTTCTACCAAAATGGATCAATTTGATTTATAATTTTTGCAAAATCGTCAGTCACAAAATAGGATATAGGAGGCTTAAATTTGGCACAAATATTCTTTGATCGATTAAGAACTTAAGGTTAAAGGATAGTAGTCATCTTTACATATACATGTTTGCGCTCTAATAAAAATTAAAACAAGCAAACGGGTCAAATTGTCTCATTGTGGCAAATAAAGGGTTATACGAAACGCTAGCCCTTTTAATGTTGCCTAATTGTGTTAAAACAAAATAGACTGCAAATCAAATTGGTTATATTATTATTATAATTACACCTTACCTATAAATTATGAGAGGAACGATAATCATTTCATATACCCATTGCTGAATGGTTTGTGATATACCAACTTTGTCGCTTCATTGGTAGTACTCCGAATTTAGAGGCTTCTTAAAGTAATATATTTTTTGGAAAAAGCGTGACATTCCAATTAGGAAAATTGTTCTCAATATTTAATCTTAATTTAGTTCAATTAGTCACATTTGATTGCAAGTTCTACAACTTATAGTCGATTGTCATATCAAGTTTGTGAAAATAGTTCCAGTTGGCCAGCTCCTGACGTGCTCGCATTTATTGTTATTGAAAAAAAAAGTTGAACGTTTTGTCATATGTATGAAGTTTTTTTCCAAAGGAGACAAATATCTATTTAACAAATTTCGTTCGTGCCTGTGATTACTATGACAATATGGTCACTCACTCATAAGAAACGAAAAAAACCATACACAATCAATAAAATTTACATACAAACTTACGTACATGCATACTTTCGCCTATGTGCTCACGCTTATTTTTTATAAGTTGCTCTAGTTGCTTATTGTTTAACACGAAGCGGAGCAGGCGAGCTTAATATCTGCAATGCATGTGCAGAAGTGTAAATTACAAATACAAGTGTGTACATTGCTTGTATTATCTGTGATGACTTAGTAGTCTTTCGTCATATTCGCACAGATGGATTTAAAAAAAACTTATAGATACACACACACAACACACATTTAAGTGCATATATATTTTCCTTAACAAATATATATACATATATATTCATAAGCATGCTTTAATATAAAATGTCATAAATATTTCCCTGCGTATCGATATATTTGAATTCTAACCATTAAATCATTGGCAAAATATAAAAAATTCTTTTAAATGTTAGTTTTTTCTATTATGTGTATGCGTATGCTTTTACGATGGGGCTGAACATGTTTTTCGTGGCGTTAGCGCCTATGATATTTACAATACTATCGATACTTATATATGTATATATATTATATATATATATGTATACTGAATATGTGCATCAATGTTTTTTTTTGTTGCTTTCTTTCGCTTTCTTATGAAAATAACGATATTTTCCTAATATCACTCCAATTTTGCATACTATTTATTCAGATAAACAGGAAACAAGATAACTCTCTAATTAAAGTTGAACGTAAATTTCTTCTACTTACGTTTTAAATTATATTAAATAAGCGCACAAGTAGTTTTACTTATATCAATCATTTATTTGTCCAATGGTTATTTCTTTCACTGAGCTCTTGATCCAAATGGACGAATTGATTCTGAGGAGTGCGGAAAGTATATATAACTGTACGTCAATGCCCGTGACTTAATGCTTTTTAATCGAAACATAGACTACTTCAAGTATAAAATTAAACAAATAAACTGAAAATGTATGAAAGAGTTAACATGCTCTTAACCCAAAAATTTCCATACAAATGCAAAGAAACTTTTGCAAGGTTGTAAAATTATGTAACGGCACATCGTTGTATAATTTCGTACCCGGACGATTAAAAACGTATGATATTGCTATTCTGTTATCATTTTCGCTTCGAAGGTAGTAAGTATTAAATTTTTAAACATTAATAAATTCAGCGCTCAATTTGTTTCCCTTGTTTTCCATAATATACGGCTTGTTTTTTTGAAAATATTTGAAATTTATTTAATGGATTCTTGATCTTATTATTATTATTATTATTATTGTAATTTTAGACTAATGAAATAAATTCTTAGACTAAAAAAAGACATTGAGCACTAACAACACAGGCTATCGGCTCTAATTTATAAAAGTACATTAGTAAAATATTGTATTGATATTCTGTTCTGTAGCTAATTGTAGAATGTCCATAGCGTTAGTCGTTCCAAATGCAATACCTCTAGCCAGGAAAAAGTTAAGGCAGTCGCAGAGAATGTGCTTTATAGTGAGAGTTTGTCCACAACTGCAGATTGGGGAGGAAGACTTCTTCAAAAGCC